TTGTAGAAATAATCAAAATTAATTATGATAAATTTAAAATTATCATAATTAATAAAATTAATTATGATTTAATTTAAATTTAAAATTAATTCTAATTTAATCTAATCAGATTAAATTAGAAAAGAAAACGAAGTTCCTATATACATGTATATAAAAGTTATTGTAAAACGAAATGTTGTGTGCAGAATAGAAGAATACCGGAACAGAGGAATCACTCTGAAAGTTGACAAACAACTTGATAATCTCGATTTACAAAATTTTAACATTTTTTCTGCTTGTAAGCTAATTAAATCTTAGCTGTACTATTAGAAAAATCGATCGCAATAAACGCCCATGTCCAAACTTCTAATTTTCAAAACAAATTAGAAGCCCAGTGAGCTTTTATTCTGTGGAGGGGTTTAGGCAATCAAACGTTGTGTTCACAGTCTAAGAAAATAGTGGATGTTAAGCCATACCGCTTACTAGGAAATCTTTCCAGGTGTCCGAATCTTTCCATGCGACCTTTTCTAACAAAATGCGGTAGTTTATAGGTAATCGACCATGCTAATTCCCAATATGATAGCCGTTTTTGCCCATAGGCCTTTCCTAACCGGTTTCTGGTATGGCTTAAGATCCACTATTTTCCATTAGACTGTGAACACAACGTTTGACTGCCTACTCGAATCGTTCAAATATGAACTCAAGACTATGAAAAATGAATTCCTGATATATTTTAAACTATATGAGATTATAAAAAGAATATTTGGAGTGAAAATTGTCATAGAAATCAAAGATGACCTGGCCGTTTAGGTGATATGCTCAATTAAGTTGGTGTATCTCAGCTACGAAAGTGATTTGAAAAAAGATAATGCTCGAATTTTATCAGCTCGACTTAGTGAATCTATTCATGAGAAAATATCTGCTCTGTGTTCTTTCTAAAATGACTTGAAGCTTTTGGCGTGGAAACTTGCGGGTTTTCTAACCATTGAAATAGACCTCATGCTTTCGACGTATTGAACATGTGCTATACTCTCAAAAAATACGTTTTCGGATCCAGGTTTTTGCGTAGATTAAGAAAAAGATATTTTTAAAGCTATAGCACATGATTAAAAGTAATTCTAGGACGCTTTTTCAAAAAATTTATTTTCTTCGTTTCTACGATTTTTGTAGGTTTTTCGAGGTTTTGAGCATAAAACTTAACTTTTTCTAAGCAAATTATACATATTGGGATTCAGCACAAAAATCTGCATCGAATGATGTATAGAAATATAAAAAATAAAAAGTGTGGAAATTTTGAATTTCCTTAACCTTATATGAGGATGAAAAGTATAGGCAGCTGTGATTTTTGACACTTCTTATTCTACGCTTGTTGTATCAATCTTGGTAAGTTTAAATTATTGTTATCCAACACGTTTAAGTAAGAAAGCGATAAAAAGTCAAACCTTCCCAGTCACAAAAAATCGGCCCTAAAACGCGTTTTTTTCGGTTTTTAGCAGTCAAAAAATGCGTTCAATGTTTCGTCTGAAACGCGTTCGAGAACGTTTGAAAACATGTTTTTGGTAGGTTTTTAACGCAAAAGTAACGCGTTTCTAAAGTGTTCAAAAGACTGTTTTAATGCGTTTGTGAAAAAGGCGTTTACATGCGTTGTATCTAATAGAAAACGCGTGAAAATGGGTCAAAAAACTAGAGTTTCGTAACGTGAATTTTTGCCGTTTCTAGCTACTTTTTTGTGCCTGGGTTATCGCAATCTAATTTGAACCGAACATCAGCAACCAATTGAAGATAACATTTAAGGGTAATTTTTGTTCGACAAAATGCTTAACTAAATAAATCGAAGACTGGAGATTTTTTTTATTTTATATTGTAGCGGAAGAAATGCAACGAAAACCAGTTGTCTGGGTGTCAGGATTTTTTATCTTATTAACGTTAATAGGAAGTATAATAACTATTTTTATTGCTTCGACGATTATCGTTGGTGATACCGAACATATTTTGCTCCATCTACGAAAACTCTCGATAGCATCTATCATTATAGCAACATCAGCCATCTTCGTTTCTCTATGCCTGTTATGGTTGGTTATTAAACAGCGATATCCATTGTTAGTTTTGATTGTATCCAGCTGTTTGCTGCTTATTATGTTATTTTCCCTCGTCGTTTCAATTATTACTCTTCGAGGTAGAATTAATCGTGAACAGTCAGCTCACAAGATACTGTCAAATAATTCTACTCTATTAAGAGTACAAGAAAAATATAATTGTTGTGGAATTCAAAATGAAACTGTTTTAAATGTGAACTGTAGTAGTAAATTTAGTAATACTACGGCATGTCTTGATATTATTTCGCAAAAACTCAATCAGAAATATTTTATGTTGGTTGTCAATGATTTTTCTCTAACTGGTGTACTATTCTTTAACGTTGTATTCGGTTTTACTTTTAAACATCATGTCTGGGGTAGTGATAGTTACATGAGTATGTAACTTGTTTAAAACGAATTTGTTATGTTTAGCAAAAGTTTTGTGAAAGTATTTTTACAACGTTTCTTTCTCCAAAATTCTATCTTGTTTGTTCTAATGACGGACCAGCACCAAATGTCTGGCAAGTAACAGCAAAAGTTTCTTTATCTCATTCTGTAACGATTTCTTTTACCTATATGATTCGTATAATTTTTACTTGAAGAACAGGTACTCTCACCGCATTATTATCTTTATCTACGAAGGAAAATAAGTCATTTTCAATGCAGACTTGAGGACAGTTCAGAGTGACTACATAGTAATTTTGGCTTGCTTCGACTAATTCCGCGCCTGAATCCTTCTCATCACCTTTTGTTACACTGTTGAACTGTTCTGGTGCACTTGTGTCCAAAAGCTTAGCACGTTTATTCTGTATAGTCAGTATGAATAACAACGGGGAAAGGAGCTTAGATTGAATGAGTATCTCATTTACTTTGTCCTGTTGTCTTATCATCAGAGCGAATACGATCTACTTTCATCATATCTCAAAGTTTTAAACCCGTTGGACATGTACCGCAAATGTTTTTTAGTAATCTTTGCAAAATTGATGTTACTTTACATCGTAAAAGTACGAATAATTTGATTTACTAGTGCCTCGTTAGAGGGTTTAAATTAGCTTCGCAGTTTCTATTATAGACGTTATCGCAAAATGGTAGTATTGACAACAGATAACAATCAACAAGCTTTGGGGTTTATTTTTGTATGCTGCTTTTCACTAACTTCTAGTCATTGTCACTAAACTCCTTCCGATAATCAAATGTCCTAATTCGCATGAGTAATATACAAATTTTTATATGTAAATTTGCTCCTAAACGGAGAAAGTTTATTGTTATTTTTATATGCTATCCGAGTTTTTCTGCCTTTTTTCGGACGACACTTATTTTTCAAATACATGTAGCTCTTAAACGAAACCTTTGTATGAACTGTAGGCTATTCTTTTCTAGACTAATTCTATATACTGTGTTTCGTGAAAACCTGTGATATTCGTTGCGCAACGATCTGCTGTGACCTATCATATTTCCCCTGCAATGGCTGCTAGAAAAGACTGAAACTTAGCTTTTAAAACGCACTTTTGTCTGATACAATTTTAAAAAACTGATTTTTTGAATAGAGACAAAAATCGAACAGTTTTTGGAAAGTTTTAATGTTTCCATTTTCTGAAGGTCAACATGAAGCATCTCCCACATCCACATGACCTTGCTTTGCAAAGTTATAGAATTTACAGAAATAACAAAGTAATTTACGACTTTTCTTGCAAATTCTATAACTTTGCAAAGATCATGCAGAGGTGGGAGATGCCTCATTTTGATCATTTGTGGGCTACAGTTATGATCCATTAAGAGAAAGATTTAGGGATTTGTCGAGCTTTCTGGAAAACTGATTTTCTAGAAAATTGCTGTAGCAAGGCCTAGCGGTCCGTTCCATACGATTATTCTGAATCGGCGTGGTGGATAACCTTTAATCCACTAGGTTTCGAGCAGAAAGCGATTAGACCGTTCGAAAAAGTCCCTCGTAACTTTCACTGGATTTTGGTTCTTTTAACGAGAGAACATCTAGTTTTTTCGTATTTATTAGTATACGTGAGGTCTGGATTAAATAAAAAAACGTACATATAAGTCCGGTCCAAAAATCCCACACTTTAAAGTTAATTTTATGTCCCGTTCCTATCGATAACTGAAAACCGTCACCAGCGAACCACAATAGTTATCAGCCTGTTACTGATTTATTATGTTTAGAGTCCTGCGGGACAGACTTTTCCATTGCCCTGAGTCCGAACATGCAAATTTTTCTCCCCTCCCGTAATCTCAAGCGCATGCGTAAATAATGTAGTCTCGAACCGGTCGGTCCCGTGATAAAAATTTACAAGTTTTTTTGTCCCGTAATCTTTTGAAAATGTTTTTTTTTCTTGTAATAAATCGTAATTGTGATAAGAAACACTTGTAGTCTGAAAGTCGATTTATCAAAAAATTCACATGACAAAATGTAACGCTAATTTATTTCATTCTAAACTTCTAAAGCTAATTTATTTTATTCTAAAGTGCCACTTGTCCCCCATCGTGGAATTCCGGGCTGCCCGAAGAAGACTACTTACGTTGGCTTTCCGTGAGAAGCTTGGCTTGAAACCTTAAAACAGACAGTGCCAATCGCTGCACTGTGATCATGTAGTTGTCTCAAACGCTTCACTTTAACAGTTTGTGCTATTTCCTTTAAAATTACATTAGGATTCGTTTCAATCAGGGACGTAAATAGGAAGTCAATTTTGTGGAGGTGTAAGAAATGTTTAACGCTTCGCCCAGCGAAATATCTTTTTGCGGACATGTACACTACCCGCAATTTACGCCGCTGGTTTTGATGGCTATTTCTTTCTTCTCGAAAGTCGATAGCTCGATAGCAACACGAAGCACTGGATTGTTAAAAATTGACATGTTCAGAATTTATAATACAACGCTCTCAACAAATTTCATAGAACTTCTATTTAAAACTGTCTATATAAGTAAACAAAAAAATCCTTATGTCAACCAGCAAGACTCGTATTTTGTTGTTGGCCAGCTAGCAAATTGTATTGCAATCTGATAAATTGGAACTTTCCCTATATTTCTGGAATAATGTCCCTTTTTTGATGCTTGATCATTACCAAAATAAATATCACCCGTATTAAATGTACGGTTAGTACCATCCATTGTGGTCCATAAACCTGTTCCCTGAAGAAATATAACAAATTGTGGTACTGGATCAGTATGCCATGGTCCACTCCAACCAACAGGCAACTGAATGAAAATAGTTTTACTTGCACCTATTACCAACAGTAGACAATCAATTTTAATCAAAAGAGATGACTTTTTATTCGTTCTTCTGCCTACCATCTTTTATGTCTGTCCATAACGGATCACTGGGAGGTGCAAAATCAACTAATGTCCAATTTGTGAAACTACATTGAGAAAAGTGTGATACTTTATCACGATCAGACCTACGTACAAGAACAATAATTCGTAAAATGAAAAAAAAAGTACATAGATACAAACCAATTGTGCCAATACGTTTGATTGGGTTTTTCACAGACAATGCCAAGGAAACAATTCATTAATAGCAGAATTGTGAAAAAAGAAACAGATGTACTCATTTCTAGCAACAAAAAAAACAGAAAATATATCTTAGTATAGTATAGTAGTACCATTTTTATACAAAATCTTTCATATGATTCTCTCAAGTATTATTACACTTTCATACTCCACATTCGCGTTTAAGCAGGTTTAATCGACCGTATCACAGTTAACATACAGATTTTCTTGAAAATTTTGAAAAAAGCCTCTTACTTGTCCTTAATCGAAGATGATGAAGAAACGCTTGAAGCAGACAGTGTAGATTACATGCTGTACAGTATATTTATATGGTGTACACAGAACAATGAAAAAGCGGATTGAATATGAGTGGTACGAGTGAGGAAGCGAATGAGAGGAAAGAACGGTATTCTTTACATGCAGCTTTTATATAAGGGCAAGTTTACCGTATAACGGACGTATGAATATATTCTTATGCATTTAAAGGAGTATACTTGAAAGCGATGTTTTCTCCATTCTTTATCTGTAACCTTAAAGAAAAAGAAAAATATACGTCGACTAAATGAAATTTTGCGATTCAAAACAGGAAAAAGTGTTAATTTCATCGTCCGTCTTTTGTTAAGTTGTTCATCGACGTTTTAAACACGTAGACAAAAACTAGATTTTTTTCGTTTAAAGAAATTTACAGAATATTTCAATGTTTCGCACGTCTTTCTCTAAAGAAGAATCATAGAGAATATAAGTAGTATTTCTGTATGTCTTCATAAAGTTTTTATACAAGATCATATCCTGACGATGTAGTTTTTGTAGTTACGAATTCGTTTTCCGGAAGCCTACTTGAAAACTCGACTTTCAAATCTTATTTTGGAATTGTTTTGTTTTGAAAAGGAGTCATTGAAGTGTTAGCTATCCGTGCTGAAAACCGCTTGTCTCTATCGTGCTTTTATCGCGCGTTATTCGCAAGCAGTATGGCTTGGCTGTTTCTGGCATCGATAGTAGTCCGTTTTCCGAAGGAAAAGGAAGTTTGAAGTATAAAGTTTATATACTGGGATTTTGTGGTTTGCAGATGGTATTTGTCAGTAGCTGTAAACACAATTTTCAGTAGCTGTCAGTTTTCGGAGTGAAATTGTAATTTAGCAAATTTCAAAATAAATTTGAGGTTTACAGTAGGCGTGCAACGGTAACGATTATCGGTCTTTACCAATTAACGGGTGACCCATAAAGAATGTCCCTCGCAGCATTTTGCTTATAACTTGGTTTAGATTTGTTTCCGAGACCCGGAGAGATGTTTTTTTAAAAGATGCGTCGTGAAATTCTCAACAAAAACATACCTAAACTATAATTTCAGAACTTCAATCAAGAAAACTCAGCCAATTAGATGAAAGTCGAAAAAAATGTAAACTTTCTAAACTCAAAACTTTTTCTTCTCGGTTTTTCTATCGGTTGTCATGCATTTTTTTCATTAATTTTTTAAATTTTCGGTATATGAGTGCTTCCAGTAAGGATCTAGACAAAAATAAGTCCAAGAACATTTGTCTATGTTCACCCTATACAATTTTTCTCGCACTAAGTAGCAATATGATCCGTTTCGCGTTGGATTAAGTTATGAATGTTAGTAGAGGTATCTGACTTAGGAAAGGGAGTACAACAAAAGATCGTCGGCAAATAAGGTGTACAATGCGAAAGCCGACGCAACTGTTGGTAAATCATTTATAAAAGCAAAAATTGAAGTGGACTTAAAACCGATCCTTGTAGTACACCTGAAGGTACCATTGACCGAGATGATGATTCGTTTTCTATTTTAACGAACTGATAGCGATTTGACAAGTAAGAATGAAACCACTCAAGAGCTCTACCACAAATTCTGAATGAAGCACTCTCTTTTTTGCTTCATGAGTTCTGCGAAAGCTTCTGTGGAACGGTCGTCCATTGACTAAAAGAAAGGGTAAACAGCAGGAGTTCTTCAAGCTTTCGCAGAACTCATGAAGCAAAAAAGAGAGTGCTTCATTTGTCCCGAAGAGAGAAATCAAATCGAGTTTTTCAGCTGTGACGAGCTCACCTTCTTTTGTCGTAAAAGTTCTCTAAACGTTTGAAGAATTTGTGGAATTTGTGGTAGAGCTCTTGAGTGGTTTCATTCTTACTTGTCAAATCGCTATCAGTTCGTTAAAATAGAAAACGAATCATCATCTCGGTCAATGGTACCTTCAGGTGTACTACAAGGATCGGTTTTAAGTCCACTTCAATTTTTGCTTTTATAAATGATTTACCAACAGTTGCGTCGGCTTTCGCATTGTACACCTTATTTGCCGACGATCTTTTGTTGTACTCCCTTTCCTAAGTCAGATACTTCTACTAACATTCATAACTTAATCCAACGCGAAACGGATCATATTGCTACTTAGTGCGAGAAAAATTGTATAGGGTGAACATAGACAAATGTTCTTGGACTTATTTTTGTCTAGTTCCTAAGTTTGAAGAAAACTTGTCTTTTTTTTGTCGATAATCAACCATTAAAACATGATCCAGCTACTGTATTTGGCACCTAAGGAAGACTATTACCAGCAAAAAGTTTTCTCCATGGTGCTTCGCTGAGCCACAATCAGTGCCAAGGCTCTTAAAAACCACTAGTTTTGGGACCCCGCTCCCTTAAGTATTTCACGAAAATTCTTCTGTATATAGAAAAACAAAATACACCATTTTGTAGAGCTCATCGAGCTCTATTTGACCTAGAAAGCTCCGTCTTAGACCAATTTCATCCATAAATCTGACATAAACTATTCGAATCAGATACTAACTTTACTTACGTATTGTTTCCAGAATTCTCAGGCCTCCAATCGGATGCTTTTATCAGTTCGACATTCTTTTGAACGCTTTGTAAGTTACTTCATAACTATATATACATACATAGGTAGGATTATATCCTGTAGACGCAGATTTACTTAGGAATAGATTTATTTTTATTACTACATACATAGATAGATAGATAGGGTATGCCCTGTGGATGTAGATTTAGTTAGGAATAGATTTAGTTTTATTTATACATACTTTTTGTCAACAGATAAGTGAATATCTCCAAGTATTAACAAATTTTTATGCGTATGTATTAATTGTCTAAGAACTATTGAACAGAAATTACGATATGCATGAATGTCACAGAAATAAAAAAACGTCGAAAGAAAAAATATCGAAAGTATTATTAATGCACCTTTACATTCACTAATCATATGTAAATGCAAGACATAGATCCTTCTGCAGATTATTCACGCAGTGTTGATGAACGGGTGTACTGAGGTTGCATTTAGGGGTGGGACAGTTCCAGTTCTTATTGTTTCTAGTAACTGGTTAAAAAGAACTGGTGACCAGTTACCGTTCCTAGTAACTGTAACTGGTCACCAGTTACTGTTCTTTCAAATCGACATAATTTTACATCTCTAAGTGGATGTTTGTTGCTCTATAATATCTTTTAACAGTAAAAGGCGCTTTCGATAGTGTAGGAACATTCACATTAAATGCTGTAGAATAAAGATTTTCTATACGTGTATTGTTTCTATGCTAAATGTGGCAGTATTGTCTATGGGAACTGAACTAGATGAGTTTATTACAGTATAAAAAACAAGGTAGATGAGCATTAACTTTTCTACATCTTGATTATGCAGAAAACAGTAACTGGTGACCAGTTCCAGTTACTTGGAAGGGTAACTGAAACTGTCCCACCTCTACTGTGGGATGATACAATATCAATTATTATAATACTTAGAAGATTTGAATTACCTATGTTTTAAGGAGTGGAAGACCTTTATTGTGTAGTCACCTAACGAAAAGAATATCATTCACAGCACTAGAATCAAGAGAAGAACGACGTTCAGTAACTGTTGACCCTGCAGTAGAAAAAGATCATTCAACAGCAGCCAAAATAACTGGGATCGAAAAGAGACGACCAGCAAGTACTGATAGACATGAAAATTTGTGTTGATAACCTTTCTAGAATGGTAATAAGTTTGATTGTTTAGAAGTATTTTCAATATTCATTCTCAAATATTTATCTAACTTGTCATTTTTCGATGTTGTCGATGAAATTATACTCTACCGAGTCTGTTTTCCAGCGACTTTGCCAATTTATAAGGTAAGACTTTCACATAAACAGAAGAGAACACAGGCCAGGCCTGAAAATCGTGGTCTATGCCTGTCACAGGCAGGCAGAGGTGCAGAATCTTCCAAAAAATAAAAAATTTCCCCACCCATGAAAATTTTTTCCAGAAATTTCCCCCAGGCTGTTGTATCTTAAATTTCCCCCAGTAGAACAACTTTTCAAAAAATTTCCCCACCCGCGCGGGTGCGCACGAGGAAGATTATGCACCTCTGCAGGCAGGCCTAGTGGTCTGTTTCCACCTCTGGCCAGCACTACGTATTTTGACTTCCAGTGTCTATAGTGTACACATAGCTATTGTATTTATGCATAATTTGATGGTGAAATTACTTTTCCAATATTATCTGATACTTCGTCTTTTATGTCATTTTCATTTTATATTAATATTAAACTAGTTGATTTTAATAATTGGTGGTACAACTGTATTTGAATAGAATAATTAAAGTCCAATTTGACTTGATACATGGATTCATTACCTAAGAAGACATCAATAGTAATGAAATCGTTAGACTACTCATTGATATAAAATAGTTTGATTTGAAAAGAATATTTTAGTATCGTAATTTTTTTGTCGAACGTTGCCATTGAATTGATTCCGTTAACATAAGGAGGATAGATAAGACAAAAAATGAAGCTTTAAACTTTCTATCGGAAGAAACGTTTAATAATCATGACAGTTTTTCGTCTATGTGAACAGACTTTCGTGTTAAAAATTACGTTTGATTTGGTCCCAAGATTTTTTATTTTATTTGGTATTATCACATCGTTTTCTGAGAGTTACTTTTATACTGAGCTAATTTCTTTTTTCCTGCAAATAAACAAAGTATAAAAGGAGAACGAAAGAATAAATATAAGATTCTTATTCAACAAAAAAGTGAGCAAATAGAAGATGTCTTTTTGCTAACAAACAATAAAAAACCGATACGGACTATGTTCTTCAGATGAAGAATACTCACCCTCAACGAGTATAATCGTCTATTTTCTAACATTTATATATATTGTTCCTATATATAGATATTTACAGTACAAATAAAAAACAAAATGCAAAATGAGAAAAAAAAAGTATATTATACACTTGGTTATTTCAAACTTTAATAGTGAAAGATAACTTGTTGATATAAAAGCTCAAAGTATCACGCAAATCTTCAAACAAATTAACAATGGCATTAGTTGTCGCTGCTTTTCTTCAACTATCCCACGCTTTCTCGAGTGGCTGGACTGGACCAATATTATTGTTGGCGATTTTATGGTACAACTGAACAGTACAGATCCAAATGTTTGTGATCAAGCATGGAGCATAGCCTTCAACAGAATCAAGCGATCACCCATGAAACACATTGTTTATATTGCGGCGAAATCTTATGGAGATGTTTTCATTATGTATGTTATCGGAAAAAACTTGATTCATTGACTTCTTGATCTTTTTCATCTTCTTCGAAGGATTGACACAACGCCCTTACAAACATTGAAAACTATCGGCTATGTAATAAAAGCTAGAGTGATTGATTTTATTGATCGAATCCGTATTTTCCTTGAGAGTGCAGCTGAAAAAGCGTCTCAATTGTCTCAATATGTTCAAAACACTTGTCAAAGTTTTATAAGCTACATTTCTTCAACACCTACAGTAAATATGCTTCTTGATACTGGAAGCTGTTCACTAAAATTATTGGGAAGATTCTTCGGCATCCTCTTCAACAGCTTTAGTCTAATAACTCAATGGCTGAGTTCGATCTTATTCTACGGACTCAAAAGAGAGATTTATAAGTATTGCATTCAAATTGTCGGTTGCTGTCTCTATTTCTTTGAGCGTTTGAATACAGGATTAAGCTTTGATGCACATGATTTGTTTCCATATGTCGGTCTTATAGCGGCTGCCACCTACGACAGATAGACATTCCTTTTTATACTATAATCATTTGTAACATTGTTTTAATTCTGTCGCAATGATCACCGAAAAACATTAGTTGTTTTGAATAGGTTATTCTCCTATATTTACTTCAATTTTAATATGTATCTTTAATTGAATGTGATAATGACAAAATCAACTATAACAATATCTTTTTGTAGGAATTTTGTTAGTTGTTCTTTAAGGCAGCTTGACTACATCAAGTAATCGATTTCTGGATGTATATTAACGAAACTACAGTAGAGTTTCGGCGACTGTTATGAAACAATGTTAACACAGGATGAATATTGGGGTAAAAACTAATGTTGTTGGAATATACGTAACATAGCTTACACTCATCTATGTATTCAACAGGGTTTTTTTTAAGTCAAATCTAATTTACAGTCAAAATGGCGGAATTCCAGAGGACTTTTGGTGAGAGTACAATGGACTTTTGCCAATTTGCAAAATTCCAGGTGTATTGGTGAGAGTACAGTGAACACTCGTTAGTGGCGAAAGTCTTATTGGCAAACTTTTGGAATTCCACTACGTCAGTCCTCATATCCAATAACGATCCTTTCTTTTTTATTAATCGCTGTCGTTTAATGAATAATATTATTGAGCATGTTATTTATGTTGTGCTGCTGCTCTAGTCGACTTCTCCCCAACGAAATTTCTGGAGAATCCCTGTCGTGAGTCGTGGGCGAGTTAAGAAGGGGTTCAGGGAGTTGATGAGTATGATCTGGATCTTTCCACGAAGCCACCATTAGTATCCTCTGAAAAATTCAAATCTATGAAAATTTTAGAGGAGTTCCCTAACATTTGGGGATTTCCGGGGAGTTTTTAGGGAGTTCGTGAGATAAGGAACTCACCGGGGACTCAGGAGAGGAATTCCCTAGGGATTTCGCATTCTTCAGGGACTCACCCAGGAATTTTGTTGGAAAGAAGTCGACTAGAATTCGCTGATAATATTCAACTATATCTTCGATGGAGAAAATAACAAGATCAATAATTTGTTATGTTTCATGTTTCGTTTATCTCTGGAACAATGTTATTGTTTATTCAGAAGAAAGAAATTTATTTAAACAAATTACTTTCTATCAAACTTTAGTAACATTATAATTAAAAAACAAGACATATAAGGAGAGTGTCGGTGGAGCTTGTAATTTAAGTATAACTTGATAATTGGAATCGGAATTTTCTACTACAACATTATCATTTGATTTCACTTCAATTTCTTTGCCGTTTAGTATTCGATAGGTTTGAATGCCAAATAGCCAATAATTGTCAAGGTTAACAGCATACGATTGATGCTGTTGTGTGAAAGGTGTTTCAATAATCATGGTTAAATTATTCGTCGGATAGTCCCATGAAAGATTAACTTCAGTGCATGATTTCAAACTTGTCACACCTAAATTGAGTGTCGCCGAAGCACATGGTTTTGACAAATATATTCGACTCCGACATGAACCCGGTGGATCGGATACTTTAGCCTCGCAAGATTGCCTTCCAACAGGTGTACTATAAACCAATCCGATTGATAGTAAAACGAAGAACGTAAATATTGATACCATTCTATGTTATTTCGCTAGAAGAAGAAAATGTAAAATGCAGAAAAAGCCAATTTTATATATATTTTTCTGTATACGTAAAATGGTAGATAAAAACTAACTGAGATAAGAAATATGTGAGAAAACTAGAAGGCAATCAATCTATAGAAAGACAGCTGTTCTTTTCGTTATCGTTTGAAGCAAATTGACTTGTCATGTATAAATTTGTAAGTTAAAAACAGTCAGCTTTTACTGGAGCAGAGCTGCGTGTGCATGGTTATTTTACATACTTATATTCCTCACAAATAACAGAGACTAAGGGAACGTTTCAAAATGTATTCCGGTCGGTCGGTCGCTATTCCTCTATTCCGCTGTTCCCCTATTCCTCAATTCCGCTATTCCCCAATTATTTATCTATTGTAGAATTTAAATTCTAATTTATTTTATTTTATTTTGTATAGTTCGGTTTCTTTGATTGTATTGTTGATACTTATATCGGCATATATATACTTCCAATGTGTTCGTTTTTTAACAGACATCTTTATAAGAGCAGACATTTTTCTGTTTAAAGAATAAAATCGGAAAGTAACAAATTTTATATTTTCATCAAATGCTCATCTTTTTTATATTCAAGGACGCGAGTGCTTACTGTAAGCTTATTTCATATTGCACCAACTTCGCGAACTAACATTACAGCAATTATAATAGACCCATTTCCATCTTTTATACTAGTTTAAAGTGCACGAGTTGTACACTATGCTGGTCTATTTTTTAGAAAAAGATCCCTTTTAGTCTTTGAGAAATATGACTGTGAATATGGTTAATTATTGTTTAAAAAAGCAAGTTTTTCCGTGCGCGACTTCCAGAGACTTGTTTTGTTTGTCTCGAAACTAGCTTTTTTAAACAATAATTAACCATATTCACAGTCATATTTCTCAAAGACTGAAAGGAATCCTTTTCTAAAAAATAGACCAGCATAGTGTACAACTCGTGCACTTTAAACTAGTATAAAAGATGGAAATGGGTCTATTATAATTGCTGTAATGTTAGTTCGCGAAGTTGGTGCAATATGAAATAAGCTTACAGTAAGCACTCGCGTCCTTGAATATAAAAAAGATGAGCATTTGATGAAAATATAAAATTTGTTACTTTCCGATTTTATTCTTTAAACAGAAAAATGTCTGCTCTTATAAAGATGTCTGTTAAAAAACGAACACATTGGAAGTATATAGAGTAGTATGGGGCAATTGCAGACAGTTTTGCGATCTTTTCTCTTGTAATCAACATAACTTTGTGATTTTTATTAATTTTTAGTTGCTTTTTTGCAGGTAGGTACATGGAAATTTCCTGTACA